AGTAGGATCCTTCAATATGCTGTCAACAGGAGGCACATCAGAAAGATGGAGATAGCCTAAATGCCCATCAACCAAAGATTGGTTAAACTTTGGTACATAAACACAATGGAATAAATACTCTGCAATACTGAAGAGTAACCCTGAATCTGCAAAACGCTTCACAATATGGATGAACCTCAAGAACACAATGCTGAGTGAAACTAGTCAATCACAAAAGAACTGTATGAGACCAAGGTTTTAAAAAGTTATGAAAAGTTTATTTTTGATAAAAGAAGTAATCTGATGGTTACAAGGGAGGGATAATTATTACTGGGCTGAGAGAGGAGACACATGTTAACATGGGTGATGGCAGGCAATACACAGAGAGATTAGCAGAGGAAAGGCGAAGGTGGTGGGAGACACAGGGAGGAATGCAGTAGTTAAAGTGAATAGAGGTAAATGCTGTTAACTGTTGGTAGGTACATGGAGGGATTGCAATCATTGTAAATGAAGCAAAGTAAAGTGATGATTTGCTCCATAAACCTTCACTCAGTTCACAATATGCAGTTTTTTTAAAAAAAAGAGAAGAAAACCTTTCCTTAGCTTTTTATAATAGTAGTCTCATACAATATTTGTCCTTTTGTGGTTGACTAATTTCAGTGAGCATGTCATGTGAGGTGTTTTGCAAATTCATCATTATTCAACATTGTATAGTATTCCATTGTATATATATATCAAAGCTTGTTTTTTCTCTTGTGTCAAACCACTTTACCTTGTTTCTTATTAATTTAAGTAACTTTAAAAATGAGAATTTCTTGTATTTTTACGTGGTGTTGTTAAATGCCATCGAGTCGCTTCTGACTCACAGCGAAGCTGTGTAGGGTTTCCAAGGAGTGACTGGTGGGTTTGAGCTGCCAACCTTGTGGTTTGCAGTCCAGAGCTGATCCTATAGTACCACACCAGGTAATTGGTGGTAATAACAAATTAGTTTTCTCTTGCTTTATTTAATATTTAAGCCAATTTTTTAATTTTCTTATCTTATTCTAGATGATATTGATTAATAATGATGATAGTCTCTTTTTCTAGTTGCTGATGTTAACTGAAATGGTGCTAATGTTTTACGTTTTAGAATGAAACCGTTTGTGTTTTGGGTAAATAGTAGTTTTTTTTAAAAATCACTGTATAGTTTTTTATTCCTGTTATATTAGAAATGACTATATAGTTTTATCAAATGCTTTTTAAGAATCTACTCATGCTTGTTAACATTCATGACTAATGATTTACATTAGATTTGCATTGTGCTATGAAGGAGTCCTGGTTTGGTGCTCTAGAATAAGCACTGGACTACCAATAATACCACAACGTTGGTGGTTCAGACCCATCAGCTGCTCTTTGGAAACCCTGTGTAAGATATCTGTTAGTTGGAACTAACTCCACTGCAATGAATAATGAATGTGTTTGGAGCGTTCTTTTTTTTTTGAGCTTTCTTAACTGTAGTCCTGATTTTGATTTTGTTTAGTTTTACAGTCCTGTTCTTACTTTGTTTTTGTGTGGCACTGTGGGTTAATGTGCCAGACTGCAAAGCCATTTGAACTGCAAGGTCGGTGGGTCACACTTATCAGCTGCTCCTTGGAAACCCTATACAGGGTCACTATGGGTCGGAACTGACTCAATGGCACTTAACAACAACATGCCTTCTTATATGGTAGAATAACCCAGATTCTGTGTGTTTAGAATTTGGTTATAACTGTACTGTCTCATATCAGGTTTTGGTATAAAGAATTCTGTTGACTGTGTTAAAAGCTAGCAGTGAAGCGTTTCTTCCTCCCTCCCTCCCTCACCCTCTCCATCAATAACAGTTTGAGTAACAGTAATTATCTGCATCTTGAGATTTAAGAAGAAATTATCCACAAACTCACCTGGGCCTGCTGCTTTATGTATGTGTGTGGTAGAACTTTTAACAGTTTTTCAGTGTGTTCTGGTCAAGCATTTTTCTTCTGTAATCAGTTTTGGAAGTTTTGTTTTACTATAAGTTACCCATGTTTTTTGAATTAACAAGATACTATGAATATCTTGGACTCCTGGTCTGGCACTGTAGGATAAGAACTGAACTGCGAACCACAAGGTCGGTGATTCAAATCCACTAGCTGCTTCTTGGAAACCTATACAGGGTTGCTATGAGTCAGAATTTAATAGCAATGTCTTATTATTTGTTCTAATTACTATTGTTTATTCTTTTTGACATCCACATCTTAGGGAATCTTTTTTAAACTCTTTTAAAATGATCTTTTTATGTTGTTTTTAAGTGCTGTTGAGTCGGTTTCAACTCTTAGCAACCCTGTACAGGGTTTTGAGGAACTTCTGATGGATTTGAACAACTGACCTTGCCATTAGCACTCTAGTGTGTTTTGGAGGCTGTAAATCTTTACAGGAACAGAAAGTCTCATTTTTCTCCTGTGGAGCGCCTAGTAGGTTTGAACTGCCAATTTTTTTGTAGTAGAATTGTTATACACAATGGTAGGTGGTAGGAGGATGGGAAATGTCAGTTGATTCTTGAGTTTCTTTGAGGAAATGACCTTGCACTCCCATGGTCCTGCTTATGACCAACTCAAGGCTTTCCTGGGGAACCAAGCCTTGACCTCTGACTTCTATGCACCCATGCTGCTGCCACTCTGGCCCACCTGGGCACTGTGACTGTGGTCAGCCCCCTGGAACTGGTACTGACAAAGCTGTGGACTCAGCGTGTGAGCTGGACATCTCTGTGCCAGCCGTAGTGGCTCAGGGTGGCTGGCAATCCCTGTGGCTGGGCTGGGGCCCACTGCCCTTCGGGATGTTCCTTTCTCAGCCCTCCTGATTTAACTACAAGCTGGTGAATTAACTGGCTGAGTGGGCCCAGGCCAAAAGACCGGACCTCTGTGGGCATCAGCTCTGTGACTAGCAACATCTCAGGGATGGTGGGGTCATCCTGACTCTACCCTCGGATGTGGTGAAGACTCAGCGCCAAGTTGTGCTGGGAGCGATGGAGGCTGTTAGAGTGAGACCCTACCAGGCTGCTGCTGAAGAGGATCCTGGCCCAGTCAGGCACCAGGGGACTCTTTACTGGCTTCCTCTCGAGGATTATCAAGGCTGCCCCCTCCTGTGCCAGCATGATCAGCACCTCCAAGTTTGCAAAAGCTTCTTATAGAAGTTCACCCAGGTGTGATGATGGGGCCTTGAAAGGGGCCCTGCCAGAGATGGGGTATGGGGGTAGAGGAGACCGAGCAAAGTGCCTTTTCCTCAGCACTGAGGATTGGGGGATCCCTGCTTCCCTTCCCACCTCTGGGCCCTCAGGACCCCCTCAGATATGGCTCTCTTCTTGCTGCTCCTGGTTCTGAGTTCAAGACTAAATCTGCTGCCTGCTCACACCCTGGTATTCTGCTGTAACTGAGCCTGCCTCCAGGACTCCAAGCCCCTGGGTCTACCTGTCTCCCCACCTCCATTAATTTCTGAAGCCTAAAGTTAATAAATAAATAAAATCGAAGGGAAAACTAAAGAGTTAAAACTATTTTTTTCAAAATCTTAAGAAAACGGAAACAAAGGTTTAAAAAAGGATAAATAACTTCCCAAAAGGCAGATAACTTGATTTATATAAGGTACACGAAGGTGCCTGACTACATCCAACTGTGGAAGCATGAAATGCAATGTTGAAATCAGTAATATAGAAATGTACAATTACGAAAATAATAGCGTCCCCTCTCCAATCCACTGACCAAAGTAAAAGCTTCTATTTTTATATGCTTGTAACATATAAACAGGAGTCCTGGTGTGGCGTTATTTTATGAGCACAGGACCTTCAGGTCAGTTTGAACCACAAAGTCGGCAGTTCAAACACACCAGTCGCTTCTCAGAAATCCCACACTGGGTCACAATGAATCAGAACCAACTTGATGGCAGTGGCTGGCACACCAAGGCCTCCACTGAGAGCCTGCCTTCATGTTTATAACTAAAAAACAATGCAATAAAATGGACTTTCAAACTTTTTAAATGACTTTGTAGATTCCTTTGTAAAGTTAAATCTTATTTGGATTCCCAGTATAAAACAGCTTCCTCAAACCTGTAGTTCTGAATATGATTTAAAAACTATGATTAAAAAAAAAAATAGGCAATTATATACATAATTACTGACAAATATGGGCTGTTATTGAAATTAGATTTCTGTTGTCACCATACCATCATACTGCTTGAAATATTGGTTTCTAATGTACAAAAAACATTTAATATAGGAAAGGCACTTAGGAATATGTGCACCATGGTGTTATTTGCTCAAGAAATGATGATAGAAAATTGAATTTAATTAACTACTAGATTGTCTTATCATCTAACTGCTTTGTCTGAAAGGTTTCAGACAGTGGTTGGGACTGCAGATTATCTAGCTAATTTTATTCTTAACTTTCCCGGGCTTCATTTTAGTAAATATGGGGGGAAAAAAAATTGTGAATTAGCCAAATTGGGAAGGAGAAAAAATATTGCTAGACCTAGATATGCCAGCAGTTCTCCGCTTTTAGGGTTTAGGATCCATTTTTACTTTTAAAACCCCTAAGAATTTTTTAAAAATGTTATTTTAAAATAGCCATACTAAACCCATTGTATGTTTGCATAAATAACATCTTTATGAAATGTAACTATATCTCCTAAAGCAAAGAATATTTAGTGAGAACAGTGATTATTTTGCATTTTTACAAATTCTCTTAATGTGTGCCTTAGTAGAAGTTGACTGGGTTCATATTTCTGCTGCTGAATTCAGTCTGTTGCAATATCACAGGTCATGCTTCTGAAAAACTCATCTGTATATTTATGGGATAATGAAAGTAAAAAGTGTGAATACCATTATAGAATTACAATGAACATAGGGTTGATCTCTTAGAGCCTGTGAGGGGTGGCAGGCCTACACTTTGTGAGCCATGTGGTAAGTATTTTTGAGCTGTCTCATCCCTAGTGTGCTACCCGTTCTCCACCAATACTCTCTCTTTGCTTTGTTGCAGAGTCATTTGGGCAGAACTACCCAGAGGTAAGAGTATATGTAGTAATGTGGTGATTTTAGAGCTGCAGTAATTGCCTATTGCTTATGTTCAAAGGAAAATGTGTTTTGATCCTTGTTTTTTCACATCAGAAGCACAATATATTTTTTGCTGCAAAAAGGAACTAATTTAATTTGATCTTGGATAGGCATCTTTGGCTGGAGACCAAAAAGTACTTTTTAATTTTAAGTTGTAAGATTTTTTTTTTTTTTCAAACCCTGTATCCCAGAGCCCTGTTGTTCCAGGGTTGTGCATATATCATTATTTACCTCTGTCCCACTTAGCCCATGCAAACATGCTTAACTGTTCTCCCATCTGCCTTGTTCTTCCATTCCCCTCCCCCTTCTTGTGTACTGGCCCCCTCCACAGCACCCAAACTATCCTGTGTCTATTCCCTACCCTGTGTTCCACCTTGCCCTCCCTCCCCTCACCCCATCCCATACACCCCGATAACCAACAAAGAATTATTATTTTTTGCCCCCTTTAGTATAGGTTCTTTTTCTTACTCTTTTACAATAGTGATCCTATGCAGTATTCCTCCTTTTGTGACTGACTAATTTCACTCAGCATAATGTCCTCAAGGTTCATCCATGTTATTCGGTGACTTGCAGCTTCCTTGTTATTCTTCAAGGTAACATAATATTTCATTGTGTGTATGTACCACAGTTTGCTTATCCGTTCCTCAATTGATGGGCACTTAGGCTGTCTCCATCTTTTTGCTCTTGTAAATAGTGCTGCTATGAACATTGGTGTGCATATGAAGTTGTAGGATTTTTTATAATGCCTGTATGTAGATATTTTTCCTGTTTGCTTTTCTAGTTTTCATGAATGTTTTCCCATTGTAATAATCAATCTGTATGATATGTGTGTGCTTTTTTAATGTAACAGTATTTTTTAGCACTTGAATATAGTTAAGAGTATAGTTATTATGGGTATTTTAAATGACTTGATACTGATATAAAAAATTTTATTTCCTGCAAAGGTTGATCACCTTGGAAACCCTATCCAGGGTTGCTATGAGTTGGTACAGGTACCTACTCAAAGGCATTTAACAACAACAACAATATTATGCATAAGGAGGCCTGGTAGCGTAATGGATTATGCTTTGAGCTGCTAACCACAAGGTCAGCCACTCTGAGGGAGAAAGAGGAGAGTGTCTGCTCCCGTAAAGGTTCACAGCCTCGGAAACCCTACATAGGGTTGTAACTGACTCGATGTTAGTGGTGCCATGGTTAAAACGGTTGACTGCTAACTGAAAGGTTGGCAGTTTGAACCCACCAGCCACTCAAAGGACAAAGATGTAAAAATCTGCCTCCATAAAGATTCACAGCAGGGAAACCCTGTGGGATAATTCTACTGTGTCCTGTTAGGGTCACTATGAGTTGGAATTGACTTCAATGCAGTGGGTTTGCTTTTTTTTGTTAACGTTATGCATATAGGCCATTCTGGGTTTTTTGGGTTTAGATATATAGAGTAAAATAAGTTCCAAGAAGTTAGCATTCTAGGCCAATAGGTATGACTCTCTTAATAACTTTTATTACATTTTGCTTAATTGCCCTCCAGTTTTGGTTTGTTTTTATTTTTATTTACAAAGTTATACAGAAATGCCAGGGATTAATAATGTCTGGTTCCACAAATCCTCTGTTAGCTTTTGTAAATGTTTCTGCCTTGTGGATAGTTTAAGAGGTATACAAAGATGCATAGAGATTATTTTGTTATTCATTATAATTTTAAGTTAAGGGAAGTGTCATAAATGATAGAGAACTTCTGAGAAACCATTTGGCTATTATTGTCACTATTCTTATATTCATTTGGATTTTCAGGAAGCTGATGGAACTTTGGACTGTATCAGCATGGCCCTCACTTGCACCTTTAACAGGTGGGGCACATTGCTTGCAGTTGGCTGTAATGATGGCCGAATTGTCATCTGGGATTTTTTGACAAGAGGCATTGCTAAAATAATTAGTGCTCACATCCATCCAGTCTGTTCTTTATGGTAAGGAATTTTTTCATTAATACATTAAATATGAGTTAAGTTAAAGCAATAAATGGTGACTGTATCTTTGTTAAGAAACTCTGGAGGTGCAGTGGGTTAAGCATTGGGTTGTTAACCACAAGGTCAGCAGTTCAAACCCACCAGCTGCTCCTTGGGAAAATGATGAAGCCGTCTGAACCGTTAAAGATTTACAATCTTGGAAACCCTGTGGAGCAGTTCTGTTCTGTCCTATAGGGGGACTCTGAGTCAGAATTCGACTCCACAGCAGTAGGTTTTAGATTTTGGGGTATCTTTGCTAATCTCAATATCTATATTTTATTATTTAGAGTTTTAAATATTCTAAATATTTAAAGGTATTAGTCATATAATTTTCCATAGCTTATGTATGCCCTTAGCCCATACACGGTATTCATGTTTGCAGGAAGAAGTTCGTGCAGTATGAACTTATATCAGGCTTTCTGTAAGATTTCAATACTAAAATGAGATATTTACAAATTACAGCTATAGTATAATTGTGATGTTGGCCTTTAATTTACAGTAAAAAGTAAGGAGGGAAATTTGACAGTCTTCTGATGTAGCCTTATCCAGATTTATTTGGATTCCAGCAATAGCAGTGATCTCAGTTGTGCCTGTTTCATCCCTGAATAAAGTTAGGAAGAGCTTTCTAGCAAAGACATTGAGCTGAAAACTGCTGTTAAATAAATTCTCATTGATTTCACTAATTTTTTTTTTTTTTTAAGTTTTTTTGTGATTTGAGTGAAAATTTACAGGGCAGATCATCAATTTTACATACAGCAAATCATATGCTTTGTTTCATTACAATGATTATAACCCCTCCATGTACCATAAGTTAACAGTATTTTTCTCTATTCATTTTAGCTCCTTTTTTTTAAAAAAAACACTCAGGCATATATAATAATTTAAACCACCAGAGGGCACATTCTGCAAGTCAGCCTCCTGGATGCCAGCTCTCAGTTCTTCTCTTTCCATTAATCTAGAGTCCTCAGCTGCTCCCTCTCTCCATGTCCCCATCTCTGCCTCCATCTCTGGTGTCGCTGTTTTTCTGGATAGGGTCCCACTTGTTCTCTTCTCCCTTGATGGTCCTTGGGTCCTCTGTTTCTGGACTATAAGATTAATTACTCCCCCTTTTTGTTACAAAACTTCTACCTTTACATTTGTGACAGTTGCAGTTAGTCCTGATAACAGTTACTCACTATTGAATCATAAGAATCTTATCCCCATCTCTTTTCACCAGACAAGATGAAAACTATTCATTGGGGACCCTATCTTCCCCCACATACTCTTAAACTAAACTCCATCTTGAAACCTTGTAAGCCTTTGTGTGTTTATCGCCTCCTCATTTTAGACAGCCAATGTCTTAAGTTGTTCGTTCCTATTTACCCTGTGTACAGAGGGGATAGCATTGTCACTATGACTTTTTAAACTACTCTGTTTATTTCACATTATTTTTAAAATGTATTTGGAGCCCAAAATAAAGTACCTTACCAGATTAAGGTTTATGAAACTGTGAATATTTCCTTTTGTCTAAAGGGAAGCAGCAGTGGTGTCATAAAGCATTGGGTTGGAAAAAGGCCTCTGTCTCTGTGTAGATTTGGCACCGATGAACTGATTGAGTGATGACTTTGGGCCAAATTCTTCTCTTATAACCACATTGAGAGCTCTGGCCCCTTTGAGCTCCTTTTTTATTTTCCACTGTGTGACATTGCAATAAAGATTTAAATGAATGTGTGTATTTTTATGTTTTACCAATATGTATGTACATAACTCACATATGTAAAACCTACCCATTTAAATGTGCATTTGATTGGCTTCATTATATTCAGAACTGTGTAACCATCTCTATGATCTAATGTTAAGAACTCCACGTTCATTGAAAATACTCAATTTTTATTATAAAATAATGTATACTTGTTTAGAAATTTATGAAAATGCAGCCAAATTATTAAAAATTATAAAAATACTGCATGTATAATCTTTAAAACTTTTTTATGCCTATATAGTATGCCTTTTGGAGTCCTGGTGTGGCATTATAGGATAAGCATTGGACTGTTAGCTACAAGATTAGGGTTTAAAACCTAAAAGCCACTCTTCGGAAACCCTATACAAGGTCACCATGAGTTG